ATTTGAAAACAAACGGTGCCTAGAGTACTGTTGCCAGCTTTGCCCTATGCACTTTTGTCGCTTTATTTAGCAACTTTTCAGACCCCTCTATCACTTTTTTTTTTAAAGTGCTTATTTATAAATAATAAAATTTAAGATAAAATTCTGTATTTGTATAACGGGTCTGTTTTATGTGTTGTCTTTTCAATTCAGAGGGCCCTATGCATGTCTTTGCCTAGGGCCTCAAATTTCCTAAATCCGCCCCTGCCTGCAATCAATGTTATCATTAAACTTTACATTAGCATTTTATTTTTCCTATTTTGGACAGAAACTTAATAATTTATTTATAGATTGTTAAACATTAATGAATAATGCTAAGATGTTGTGCATCATTATTTTTTAAATAAAATTCTCTGTGTGTGACTGATTAGTTAGCCAAATGTTGGGTCATTTTTCTGTTACATACTGAAGTAACATGTGGATTTGAAATTCTCAAATTCAACCCATTCCAGAGATTAATTTAGCAGCATATTAGAGTCAGAACAACAAACCCCGTTTAGGCTCAGAAAACCCAGCTGTGGTGGAGCAATCCTCAGGAATGCTGTGGCCGCCAACCAAACCTGCAGCACTGGAGAATTAGAGCAAAAGTATGAAGCCAGAATTCTGCTAAAGTGCAGCACAGCTTTGTTTAAAACACATGCATGTAAACCTTTTGCACTGCACATTTTAAACATTTTATACGTTCAAATTTGATACATTATATCACAAACATGCATGCAAACTCTTACTCTGGCCTTGTGGCTTGCTTTTAATATATATATATATATATATATATATATATATATATATATATATATATATATATATATATATATATATATACATTTAAGAAAATTAAACATGAACTGTACGTTTAGAAATAAAAGGTTTGGCGAACCAGAAAAAGATACTCTCCAAACCTGTTTTACTTGCAACAAAAGGGAACAAAAGTCACTCCATATTTTAATTAATTTATTTAATTTTTTCATCTTTAGGATGATTAACCCATTTATGTATTATTATTAAAAATGCGCAGCCTTTTTATTTATCGATTACTTATTTTTTATAAATACATTTGTTTGTATTTTTTTAATAGCTTTGTGTGTTTTACACTTTCTTTTTATTTTTTTTTAACCCTATTATAAGTCAATATTTGTTGCAGCATCCATTTTGGCAAGAGCACACACGGCAAATAAAGTCAGGAATTAAAGCATTGTTTTCGAATAAATTAGCTAAATACCTCGGCTTAGCTCACTGATAGACGGTAGCCATCTTTGTTGTGACTATGGCTGTGTTGCTAGTATCTAGACCAACAGCCACAGGTTATCCCTTACGAGCCCCCCTTCTCCTTTGCATTATAAGGCATACATAGTAATAAATACATAGAAAAATAATTAGTTATGAAAAAATAAAATTGGTTAAAAAAAAATTAAAAAAACATACAAAACCCCACAAAGAGTTGATGGGTTTATTAAAATCTAACATTAAATTTAAATAAATCACAATAAATGAATGAGCCAGTTAACAGAGTTACATATTTATATTTTATTTTACTA